AATCAAACTTTGAGAGTGTTTTGAAAATCTAATAAAAATGTAGATTAATGACTATATCAAATGTATATTGAGAGAAAAGAAGTCAAAGACATTTATTCAAAAGAAATAATTTAAATGTAAAAAGTTTTGTAAATAAATAAAATTGACACATAATAAAACTTAAGAGTATGTTTATTTCAGTAATATGTTACCATTTGCATGACACATATATTATAATTATGTTTAAAAATAATTATAGTTATTGCTAATTAATAATAAACGTGTCATGATTGTTACTAATTAAACGATATAAGAAATAACATATGTATTATTTTGTTTGTCACATTTAAATCACTTGAAAGAAGTAGCAATTGTCGAAGTTTATTTATCATCTTGAATAATTTTTTTCTTACTTATTTGTTACCAGATTACTTATTACTTGTTACTCTTTATATTGGAAATTAGATAATTAAAATTGTGGCAAAAAATAGTAAGTTGGTAGTGCAAATTTTGACATAAAATTAGATGAATATTATCTATATCATTTTTCTATTACGTTTTACATAAATATTCTACTTCTCTCCCTGTAACTTTCAAAGATAATGACTTTCTTTTTATTTCTTTAAATAAATAAATAAAAATTGAAAATTAATAGCCATTAAAAAAAATATGATAATTCAATTTTATTGTATGCATTAATTTATTTATTTTTCCTATTTTCATTTGAAATTAATTATAATTACTGAATTATTGAATTTATTTGAATTATAATAATGAGTAATTATTATAATAATAGTTATCATATAATTATAAATCTTGAACGACTCAATTAAACGTGTAACTTTCACTCTATTATTATATTTGCATAGTTAGTTATAAATAAATTTGGACATTAATTATTATCTTTTCAAATACATTATGCACAAGCAATGTCAATCAACCAAAAATTGACTTGGAAGACTGCAAGTTAGAAACAACTCGACCAACAAACACAAAATCAACTAAAAAAGACATGTAAGTCAAAAATAACCCATTCATCACATATTGACTCAAAAGACGTGTAAGTCAAAAATAGCATAACCATCATGCATAAAATTGACTATGAAAGATGTGTAAGCTGGAAGTAACTCAACCATCACGCACAAAATTGACTTAAAAAGACATGTAAGTTGAACACGACTTGACCATCACCACAAAATCTTGAAAAGATGCAAGTCAAAAATAACTCAATCATCATGCACAAAATCGACTCGAAAAGACCTATTAGTTGAAAACAACTCAACTAACATGCATCGACTTAAAAAACATATAAGTTAGAAATAATCTAATTATCACACACAAAGTCGACTCGAAAACTCATGTAAGTCGAAAATAACTCAATCATCACTTATAAAGTTGACTCATAATTCTAGTCAAATTTAGGCTCGTATTTCATATTTCAAAACTTGATAACTTTCTACTATGTGTTCACCTTTATGGACTATCTTAGTTTGTAATCAGGATGAGTTATTTGAGATATTATTTGACTGAACCTCTACGCATTCCATACTATAGGTTGGTAGGCAAGTGGACTATCTCAACCTATAACCGAAATGTGTTATCCGAGATATTATTTTATTTAACCTCTACACACTTCATGTTATAGACTGATAGGCAAGTGGACTATCCTAACCTATAATTGATATGTGTTACTTGAGATTGTTTTTTTTTGTAGAAAATTGTTCCATATAACCAATTTAATTTATGTACTTAGAATAACTCGTCATTTTCTCAATTAAGTTCATCACACACCAAATCTAATAATTAATGACCATGATTGAGTACTAAAATACATTATGCAATAACATGATAAAATTCTCACAAAATCTTGCGATTCTAGGGTCCAAAAAGACATAATAATTAAATATAAAGTTTCCATGTTAGGACAAAGACAAACAAAATATATTTTTAAACGTTTTAGCTTTAAACATGCACTATAAATGCATTAGCACGGACTATCCCTACAAATGCATCATGAACACTTTGATATCTTTAAAAAAAATCATTTGGTCTCTCAAAATAAATGAGATATTTTGCTTTAATTACCTTACTTTACCAAAAAAATAAATAGATGAAACACTAGAATCTTTTTTTATTCAATAGACGGAAGGAATTATCTATTCCATATTTGCATTTTTAAGGAGTTATTTGGTGATTTATTTATTTTTAAAGTAAATTCAATGGACTGAATGTAATATTTTGAAGTACGGGTGAATAAAAAATTTTGATCCACCTGAAACCGAATAAATTGAAGCTTAATTTACATTTAACAGATGCATTCAAGTGAGCCACAAGTTGTTGAGTCGGAAAAATAATTTTAAATGGATTTCTACAATTGGGTGCAGATGTAATTATTTTCATTCGATAAATCCAAATTCGTCTGATTGTTACAGCTATATTATCTATATTTATTTATTATTGTTGTTGATTAATTGTTGTCTGTCCCTTTTTCATCATACTCTACACTTGTATACCTTTTTGTTGAAAATGAGTAAACTATAGTATTTTATTATTTTACAGGTTTTAGGTAGTAGAAATAGGAAAAGCATCTTGTCACATCGAAAGAAATTTATTTTTGTAGAATAAAATATATAAAAAATACTTCATTGTTTCAAAGAAAAATATTTTTAATAGATCCCAACAAAAATCACATGCAATCAACAATTTGTGACCTATGTTGTGAATGCGGAAACAGAGAGTTTTATTCATGTTTGCTTCTTCTTTAGTATTGTAGAGTTTATAATTCTATTAGAGAATGATTTTCAAGAAAGTAAGGTGAGGTGGTGGTGCATTCAACCATAAGTGAATTTACTTGAGTTTTATCATCAACGGTGCTCAAGTAAAAAAAGCCAAATTTAGAATTACATTATTTCCTCTATTTTTATTTTTTTTAAAATTATTTCACGAGATTTCTCATATTCATCTTATAACGGATCTTCTTCATTCTCAAGATGCTTTTACTTCTTGTCAATAATTTTCTACATTTTTTTCTCTTTATCCACCACCTGCTCAATTTGATAGGGTTTACGGTCGATTATGAGCCATATTTTTATTGATTGGCTTATTTTGGATTAAATTATTTTGGTCCAAACCTCCTGTAATCAACCGCTGCACACCCCTAATTGAAGGATCAAAATGGATATTTATTTCTTTTATTATTATTATTTTTTAAGCTTAGCTAATGGGACACACTGGTTTTAAGCCATTTGAACTTGTAAAAAATATTCATTCTTACATTCATCATTGGTACAAAACCACTCATTAATCTCTTTTCTGGGACCCCATTAATGTTCAAAGTCATACCTAATCAAAGAAGCCGGATCTATAGTACAACCCTGCCCCCATTTCCCTACCTGGAC